GGGGGGGGGGGGGGGGGACAGGGAGAGAAGGAGACACAGAATCCGATGCAGGCTCCGGGCTCCGAGCTGTCAACACAGCCCGACGCGGGGCCGGAACTGACAAACGGGGAGATCATGACCTGAGCCTGGGCTGAAGTCGGATACTTAACCCACTGAGCCACCCAGGTGCCCCCCCCACCCCGCCCCCCAGACACTTTACGGATTCTTAGAGTGTTTGTCCTAAAGTCTCCTTGGACCTGTCACCTGAGGTGCTCGCTCACAATCCGTGTTCTCAGATCCCACCCCCAAAGAACCCTGCTTCGGGAGGGTGCCAGAGACCTTTTTGAGGAGCTCTTGGTGTTTCCTCAGGGAGTGGGGGTGCCGTGTCTTACCTACTGCTTCCTCACAGCGGTGCGGGAAGGCGGTCCCCATAGGTGCGAAACAGGACTCCGTCGGGTCCGCGGTCACACGGGTGTGATGGCAGTAACACACGGGACCCGTCGATCGGCTTTCCTGACCGCGAGCACCTGTGTTCGCAGAACACGTGCGCGGCCGTCGTTTGGGGGTCCCCTCCCTCTACCTGTGAGGGTCCGCGCAGCTGGGCCGTCTCCCACACATCCCGCTTCCTCCGCTGACGCGTTCCTTGCCGTCCGGCGTGTCCAGCCCCCCCCCCCCCCCGGGGGACCCGTCGGGCCCCCGCTCGCCCCCCTGCGGGTGGCCGAGCGGCGTGTGGGCTCAGATCTGGGCTGCCGCTCGGGCCTGGGCCGAGGGTTCTGATAAAGCAGAGACGTCTTCGGGCATTAACGGGCACCCTTAACGGGTCCCCTGCTCTGGGCCGGCCGCCCCGATTCTAGGCGTGAATAAACCGTGGCCTCAAGGCGGGAGAGCCGCAGCTGGTGACCCCGAACGGGCCCAAGGGTAAAAAGCAAGAGTCACGGGCGCCGTGTCGCTCGGCTGCCCTGCACTCCGAGCATCGGCCCCACCTGCAGCTCGGATGACCCAAGTCTCCTGCTGCTGCTCCGCCCTGTGCTCCTCTGGCTCCTGAGCCGCCGCTCACGTTCTCTCCGTGAGCCCCTCGGTGGTGCGGTCGTGGCTGTCTCGCGGGTCCTTCCACCAGGTCTTGGCCCCAGACCCACCTCTTGGCCGCACTCTACGGATGCGGCCCGTTCAGTCCTCGTTCCCGCTGCCCTCTGCCTAGCGCCGTGAGGCCGAGGGAGCGGCCCGGTGTCCCCAGAGGGTCTGCCAGGTGCTTAGAGACGCCCGCCCTCCGGCCAGGGTTGATGGGTCCGGGGGAGGACACCCAGCCCAAGCCAGGCCAAAGGAAGCCCTTCCCGGAGAATGTCAGGAAGCCGGCGTCCTCTGCCATGGGGGCCACAGGAGAGGACGCTTCGGTGCGGGGTGGGGAGGGGGGCAGCGTGGTCTCCACGTGGAGAGAGAGACTGCGCCTCGGATACAGAGTCAAGCAGAGACGAGACTCCCCCCCTTTCTTGACTTAAAAATGGCATTAAAAAAAGGAATCAACTAGTAGAAAGAAAACAGAAATGCCCCCTAACACAAGACCCAGAAAACCCTTCTGACAGCAAGACCGTAATCCGTGCTTTTCAAATCTATTACACCGATCCTACGTCTTCCCCGCCGCAGACACGGAAACCTGTCCCCAGATAGCCCGGCGGCAGCACCCGCCATCCACTGACCGGCATCGACAAGCAGGGAAGCCCCCGGCCGGACTGTAGAGACGCAGGGTCCCCGCTGTCCCCAGACCTCGCGGGCAGCTTGGCACACAGCGCGTCCTTCATAAAAACGAGCTTCGGTGATTCTAATTCCGTTCTCGCCTAGGTCCGAACCATTTCTTTGCTCATAGAAGAAGGCATTTTCCTGCTCTCCGGATCCCGGGGGGACATTATTGGGGTAGGTTCACGGGTCGGTGGTGTTGAGAACCAAGTAGTAAGGAGTCCGGGAGATGGTGGAATACAGAAAACTGGAAAAGCATGAAGCAGGAACCTGCAGAGTGGGAACGGAAGGTCTGAAGGACAGGAGCAAATTAACGGCATCGAGGTCAAGTCAAGTCAACCTAAACTCTGAGGGTAGGTACTGCCCCCCGCCCCGCCCCGCCCCGTAATAAGCACCTTTTGTTCAGATCATAAAGTGTATCTTCCCTACACGTGTAGACAGAAAACGTGTACAGGTAAGAAAGCAATAAGCACCCGTGTGCCCACCACCCAGGCCAAGAGGTAGAACGTAACTGTCCTCGGAAGCCGCTCTGTGCCCTCCCTGATTGAACCCCCCCTTCTCGGCGGTAACCACTGTCCTGCAGTTGGAGTTATTCTGGTTTTCTTCCAGTCGCCACGACCTACGTGTCCCTGTGCTGGAACGGGGAAGGGTGGAAGGGAACAGGGAACCTGGAAGAGTAATGTGTGTTTACAAAAAAAGTAGGGCTCCTGCTGGCTCCGGGGGCTAAGCGTCTGGCTTTTGACTTGGGTCCAGGTCATGATGTCACAGTTCGCGGGCTAGAGCCCCGCATCGGGCTGTGCGCTGACAGCACGGAGCCCGGAGCCTGCTTCAGATTCTGTGTCTCCCTCTCTCCCTGCTCCTTCCCTGCTCACACTCTGTCTCTGTCTCTGTCTCTGTCTCTCTCAAAAAGGGTTAGGGGCGCCTGGGTGGCGCAGTCGGTTAAGCGTCCGACTTCAGCCAGGTCACGATCTCGCGGTCCGTGAGTTCGAGCCCCGCGTCGGGCTCTGGGCTGATGGCTCAGAGCCTGGAGCCTGCTTCCGATTCTGTGTCTCCCTCTCTCTCTGCCCCTCCCCCGTTCATGCTCTGTCTCTCTCTGTCCCAAAAATAAAAAATAAACGTTGAAAAAAAAAATTAAAAAAAAAATCAAAAATAAAGGTTAAACAAAGTTCGTGCATTTAAAAAACAAAAAACTGTTGGTGACTTTTGCCAAATTGTTCACAAAAGCACGTGCCCACTGACACCCCTCAGGCCGACAGAGTACAAGAACGCTGTCTTACTCCTTCCCCAGGACAGCATAGCCTCAAACTAAAAAAAAAATAAAATAAAATAAAAAAAAAATGTGTTTGCCAAACCAATAGGTGAAAACTGCTATTCATTATTTTGATTTACGTGTGCTGATCAAGAAGGTCGATTTTTTGTTCCAGTGTACAAGAATCTGCCACACGATGAAGGCAAAGTGGTACATTTGATGTAGAAAACGAGGCTTAATCAAAGAAGTCCCTTTGGGACAACTGGAAACAATCATCAGAATACCAGCAGACCCTCAGCTGTCGACCGCTGGGGGCGGGGGGAGGTCGGACACCTGCATGTAAAACGACACCAAGAAAGGCCTAGGGTAAAGCCAGCATTTGTCATCTTGGAGCGAGGGAGGCCTTTCTCCCCTTCCCTGGAGCCCCAAATCGGAGACCATAAAGACAAAGAAAAGTTTCCGTAGGGTCAAAAATAGAAAACCACAGGCCAGCGAAGACAAACCGGGAGCAGATGCCCGCAGCCCAAGAGCGGCTCATCTCTGTCCCTACAGAGCTGGCCGAAAGCCCTAAGAGGCTGGCGAGGTGCTGAACCCCCGGGGCTGCTGGGTCCCTCCCCAGGTGTAAAAACACCGACAGGTGGCGGGGGAGGGACTCCTGGCGGGGAGACAAGGCCATGAGCGGACCAGAGCAGAAAAAGACGTAGGTGGTAAAGATTAAAAAAAGAAAAAAAAAATGAAACGAGAGAGAGAGAGAGAGAGAGAGAGAGAGATGGCAGGGGTGGGGGCGAGAGCGAGAAAGTGGGGGGTGGCTGCCCCAGGCCCAGGAGGCCGCGTGCCGCGCCCCCTCCCCGGGAGGCGACCTCTTTACTCAACTTGGCTACGGAAGAAAACAAAAGTCCTTGGGACTTACCGGTGCAGGAAAGAAGGAAGTCCGTGGTGGTTTCTGGGCGCCTCGTCATAGGAGAGCTCAAATCGCCTTCTCCTCTCAGAACAGAGGCGACAAGAAGGTGAACCGGGACGGCAAGTCTCCGCATCAGCCAGGCACAGACAGGACGTTCCAGGGAAGTTTCTAGGGCGTCGTGGGCTTGGCTTCGGAGAGAGAAGGTGGCGCGGCTTGTAGATCCTGCCATGAAGATTCCTCTGGTGATTCTGGAAGCCCGGGGAGGAAATGATTCCGACCCAGAGGAAAAAACCACGGCCAAGAACTCCGGGCTCCTCAGCGGTCGGCTGAAGCCACACTCTTCACACAAAAAGGCTGCAAGAAACAGTTATAAAATGTTGCGAATTAGAGCCAAGATTTCATACTCCGAGCCTCTTACTGACTTTTGATTCTTATGGTATTAACACATAGTATCTATACGAGTCATATTGAAAGTAAGTGGAGCTCAAGGGTTGTTTTTTTTTAAAAGCCCACCAGAGGGGCACCTGGGGGGCTCAGTCAGTCAGGCGTCCGACTTCAGCTCAGGTCATAGTCTGTGAGTTCGAGTCCCGTGTCGGGCTCTGTGCTGACAGCTCAGAGCCTGGAGCCTGCTGCGGCTTCTGGGTCTCCCTCTCTCTGACCTTCCCCCGGTCACGCTCTGTCTCCCTGTCTCAAAAATAAACATTAAAAAAATAAATTTTCTTTTTAAATAAGACTGAGCCAGACGGATATCCCTCGTTTGATCCTATTTAATAATATGTAAAACTGATTCACATATGATCAAAGTGAAATTAATTTTCTCCCTGCGGTCTAAACGTAGAGAAAACAGATTCCTGTATCTGATCGTGATTTCTGTAACCACATCACCTAAACATGGGGAGAGGCTCTGTTGGGCAAGAATCTGAAACAGGAAATTGTCTTCACTTTATCCCAAACCTGGGTTTTGTTCTTATTCATTCTTATTCATTCATTATCAAAGGTAAGTGCCACTTTGTATGTAAAAGTAGGGATGTCAGTACCCTGAGGTAGAGGGCAGCAGTGAGAAGGCAGCGAAAGCCTGGCCCCCACAGCGGCCCAACGCCCCGGTAGCTTTATAGGTGAGTTCTCTCAAACTTCCTTTCTTTCTTTCTCTTTCTCTCTTTCTCTCTTTCTTTGGAGACAGAGACGGAGCATGAGCGGGGGAGGGGCAGAGAGAGAGGGAGACACAGAATCGGAAACAGGCTCCAGGCTCCGAGCTGTCAGCACAGAGCCCGACGCGGGGCCCGAACTCACGGACCGCGAGGCCATGACCTGAGCCGAAGTCGGACGCTTCACCGACTGAGCCACCCAGGAGCCCTTAGTTCTCCCAAACTTTCAAGGCACGATCATCTGATTTCACACAAGTTCTCCCGAAAATAGAAGAAGAAGGCGGCAAGCCAACTCGTTTTACGAACTTCTCGCTTCAGCTAAGGTGAACACGAGAAAATAAAAACACAGGCCTCATTCACTTCTGAACATAAATGTGAAAAATCCTCCATAAAATATGGGCCAACCAAACCCAAAAGTTGACCGAACTAGAAACTGCCAATTAAGTCAAGTGACTTAAGTCAAGTGTGTCCCACACGTGCAAGGGCAGAAGGCATTTCTCTCTTCCCAACAGAGCCCCGTCTTGTTGAGACGCGGAGCGCGTGCCCAGCCCCGGGGATGAGCCACGATGACGCACAGTGTCCCCGCTCTCGTCTGCCAGACGCTCAGAATGCAGTGCTGTCTTGCGGCCAGAAGCATGCTGCGATCCATTTCTGACCAATGTTGCCAGAAGTCGACCAGGGGACGGGGCTGCCGGGAAAGTCTGTCCTCCCCCTGCTCCTTCCCTGTCACCAGCAGATGTACGCCTTTAAGGCTGCCCGCCATGTTGCAAGCATGAGGTGACAAGGACAGGGACATGACAGCCAGTGTGCTAAGGATGGAAAACGGAAGGACAGGTCCACTGGATGATGCCATCCTGCTGCTAGGCCCACCTGAGAGGGCCCGTCTCCAGACCGCTGGTTAAGAAGTTAACACCCTCGGGGCGCCTGGGTGGCGCAGTCGGTTAAGCGTCCGACTTCAACTCAGGTCACGATCTTGCAGTCTGTGAGTTCGAGCCCTGCGTCGGGCTCTGGGCTGATGGCTCGGAGCCTGGAGCCTGTTTCAGATTCTGTGTCTCCCTCTCTCTCTGCCCCTCCCCCGTTCATGCTCTGTCTCTCTCTGTCCCAAAAATAAATAAACGTTGAAAAAAAAAAAAAAAAGAAGTTAACACCCTCAGGGGCGCCCGGGTGGCTCAGTCGGCTGAGCATCTGACTTCGGCTCAGGTCACGATCTCACGGTTTGTGAGTTCGAGCCCCGCGTCGGGCTCTGCGCTGACAGTGTGGAGCCTGCTTGGGACTCTCTCTCTTCCTCTCTCTCTGCCTCTCCCCCACGCACGCTCTCTCTCCCCAAATAAATACATAAACTTAAAAAAATTTTTTTCGGGAAACAACTTCCTTAATTTGAAAAGGACTTTTAAAAACCTCCAGTTCACATGGGTCATGACGCCCTCACTGTAAACACAGGAATAAGGCAGGACTGTCTTCACGGCAACACTGGGGGTCCTGGCCAATGCGCTAAGAGAAGAAAATAAAAGAAGCAGAGGAAAGGAAAAGATTAATTACGTGAGGGTATAATTACCAACGTGGAAAGCCTTGCAGAGCAACAATAAGCCACCAAGAGGAGAGTCAGGGACTTCCCTGGATGTAAGAAACATCAACACCAACAGCTCTCCTCACCCCCGCGGTACGAAGTCACAGACAACAAAAGGTCGCTCACAACAGTAACAAAGTCTCTCAAGTATTCAGAACTCAAAGTAATTAAGGATGTTCTTTAACTGTATGTAAAATCTTTACGGCAAAAATGTGAAACTGCTGTGTGTGTGTGTGTGTGTGTGTGTGTGTGTGTGTGTGTCTTTAAGTAGTCTTCACGGCCACCACGACCCTGAGATCAAGACCTGAGCTGAGATCGAGAGTCGGACGCTCAACCAACTGAGCCCCCAGATGCCCCATAAAAATGTGAAACTGTTGGGGCGCCTGGGTGGCGCAGTCGGTTAAGCATCCGACTTCAGCCAGGTCACGATCTCGCGGTCCGTGAGTTCGAGCCCGGCGTCAGGCTCTGGGCTGATGGCTCGGAGCCTGGAGCCTGTTTCCGATTCTGTGTCTCCCTCTCTCTCTGCCCCTGCCCCGTTCATGCTCTGTCTCTCTCTGTCCCAAAAATAAATAAACGTTGAAAAAAAAAATGTGAAACTGTTAACGGGCATGAAAGTTGAGTGTAAATGAAGAGATACACTTTTTGTTTGGATGAGCTGATTCCCGATTATAAAGATGTCAGTCCTCCCCCAAATAACCTATAAGTTAAAATTTTTACAAACTTGAGGAACTTCTAAACTGTTTATGACAATCTAGAGACGCCTGGCGGGCTCAGTCGGTAGATCAAGCGACTCCTGGGCTCGGAGTTGGGAGTTCGAGCCCCACGTTGGGTGTAGAGATTACTTCAATAAATAAATGTTAAAAAAAAAAAAAAGACAAAATGTTTATGATGGTACAAAGGTCTGCGAATAGCCGCATCGGTTTTGAAAAAGAGGAGGGAGTCACCCCGGCAGATATTAAAACATCCAACAGAAGTTACAGCAACAACAATTACACAAAAGCCCAACTGGTTCTGCTTAGTTGCTAAAAACCAAAGAAAGGAACCGGGTAAGAGCCATGGAGCCACCCGTGTGCACACAGAAGTGTGATACGGGCTGGGTGACCTCAGGGGGGGTGACCTCAGGGAGGACCGGTTAGATTAGCAGACACGGGGGGCCGCTGGGTGGCTCAGTCGGTTAAGCATCTGACTTCAGCTCAGGTCACGATCCCAGAGTTTGTGGGTTCGAGCCCCCCGTCAGCTCTGTGCTGACAGCTCGGAGCCTGGAGCCTGTTTCGGATTCTGTGTCTCCCTCTCTCTCTGCCCCTCCCCCACTCACACTCTGTCTCTGTCTCTCAAAAATGAATAAATGTTAAAAAAAAAAAACAAAAGATTAGAAGACACAAGTGGCTGCCTCCCTCTATAGAGAGAAAAAGAAATAAAGCCGTATCCCTATTTCATACCATGCTCGAAAGTAAACTCCGGGTGGATTAAAGACTCTAAAACAAAAGGTGAAAAACTAGAAAGTTAACAGATGAAAAGGTGGGAGAGTATTTTTGTGACCTTTGGGGTGGGACTTTCTTTTTTTAAAGTTTATTTATTATGAGAGCGACAGAGAGGGTGCAAGCAGGGGAGGGGCAGAGAGAGTGGAGGGGGGAGAATCTCAAGCAGGCTCCACGCTGCCAGTGTGGCGCCCGATGTGGGGCTAAAACCCACGAAGCTGCGAGATCATGACCTGAACTGAAACCAAGAGTCGGATGCTCAACCGACTGAGCCACCGGGCGCCCCTAGAGGTGTCTCACACCTCCTTCAGCCCGTGGAACAGGGTCTACCCCTTTAGAGCACGGCGGTGTTTCTGAGGGCCTGCTGTCCCAAAGTTTGCCAGCTAGAGGGGTGGACAGATGTTAAAACAAAGTGTCACAACGGTTTTGTCAGGCCTATAGGAATTTACAATACGGTAACTAATCCAGTCTAGACAGCTCACAGTTCACATTCCGCCCCACCGACCGAGGCCCACGCTTAGAGTCCGAGAGACCTCAGGAGAAGGCTCAGTTAGTGGCTTTGCCGTGAAAACACTGGGTAGAAACATTCCCTTCCAGCAGATAGCACTCAGGATCAGTTCCACGAAACTCTGCTTCTGAGTCTAATGTTCTGTTTTCATTGGGTTCTTTTGGTTACAAGGAAACGGAATGAACTGAAATCACCTAAAAATACGGTTTTACAATAATCGGCCCAGACGAGAGTCACCAACGGGTGCTGTACTTTGCAGGCCAGAGTTGAATTAGGAACAGGATATTTACATAGTGTCAGAACATCTCCCCACAAAAGTGCTTCTTAGTGAGAAAAGAGGAAACAGTATCTCGACGGTGGAAAAGCACGGTGGATTCCACCTTGACCAAGTATCAAAGTGAACAGCACCCCCGCAATAGGTCAAATTGATATGAAGTATTTCCTGATATGATGCCCCCAGAAAGCCACATCCCTTATGTAACAGTCATGCCGGAGAAACATACGGCAAATCCAATTGTGAGAAGCATCAGACGAGTTGAGGGAAATTCTACACAATCGAGGGACATTCTACGTAATTACTGGACTGTAGTTTTCAAAAATGTCATGGTCCCGGATGGGTTCCTAGACGTGGGCGGGAGGGTGGCGGGGGGAGCTACGAAGGACATTTTTTGGACAATTGACAAAATGGGAATATGAACTGCAGATTGGATCATACTATCCCATCAGTATTGAATTTCCACATTAATAACCATACTGCAGTTCTGTAAGAAAATGTCTTTGTTTTTAGGCAACACACGTTGAAATTTAGTGGCGATGTCTCCGAGTTAGTTCAGGGAAAACCCTTGGAGACACAGGAGACACAGGAATAAAGCCAACAAGACCAAATGTTAACAAGTGGGGAATCCGGGCCAAGCGGATCCGTAAGATTAACCCTCACCCGGTATGTTTAATGCCAAGTGTGAGAAATTGAGAAGCCTGCAGAAGGTGGCAATACCCACCAGGGAGATCTCCGCTTCCGGCAAGATGGGTGTGTGCTTCGCTGTTCCGCCCATTAAATCCAACCAAATCCGGGACATTCTATATGCACCCAAGAAGTGAAGGAATTTGCAACCTAGAAACAAAAACGTTTATTGCCGGTGGGATGAGCCCTTTGTGTTTTTTCGGTTTTGTGTATAATTTTTTTTTTAAGTTTATTTACTTATTCCGAGAGAGAGAGACAGAGAGAGAGAGAGCTAGCAGGGGAGGGGCAGATAGAGGGGGAGAGAGAGAATCCCTAGCTGTACCCCTAGTGCAGAGCCTGATGCAGGGATCAAACTCATGAACGGTGAGATCATGACCTGAGACAAGACCAGAGTCAGATGCTTCACTGACTGAGCCACCCAGGTGCCCTAATAGTAGTAATAATAATAATAAGCCTGCTCTCTCCAGCCAGAGGACCAGGAAAGGGGTAGCCTAAGAAGGCAGAACTTGGGAAATGGCCACTCTATTCCCGACATTCTACCACGGACAAACTGTGGCCACCCCCACACCAGCAGCCAAAGGTTGAGCCTAGATTTGCACCCTCCCCAGGCTTGTCACCAGGTGCCCCAACATCCCTGCCGGGCTGGCAGACTCTCTGGGAAGGCCAAGTAGGGGAGCAGGGACTTTCACCCCAGCCAGCTGGTAACCACAGGGGAGCCTGGATGTCCATCCCAGATTGGCCACCATGGGGCACCCTTCCCATCCCCACTGGGATGGCGTCAGGGGGCCCCAGGAGGGTCAGGACCGTCACTCATTTCTGCACCCAGGAGGTCATCCTCACCCAGGTGGCTCCCAAAGGACAGAGGTGTTAGGGTTCTCTGGGGAATATTTTATTTTTTTGATGTTTATTTGTTTTTGAGAGAGAGAGAGAGAGAGAGAGAGAGAGCAGGGGAGGGGCAGAGAGAGAGAGGGAGACCCAGAATCCGAAGCAGGCTCTAGGCTCCGAGCTGTCAGCACAGAGCCTGACGTGGGGCCTGAACCCACGACCCGTGAGATCATGACCTGAGCCAAAGTCGGACGCTTAACCGACTGAGCCACCTGGGCGCCCCTGGAAAATATCTTAAAGCAGCCACGATAAAAAGGCTTTAACGAGAAATTATGGATGTACTTGAAACAGATCAAAAAGAACTTCAGCAAAGGCACAGAGGGTCTAAGGAACTAAATGGAGACCGCAGAGCTGAAAGACATAACAGCTGAGATTACAGCTCAGGGAGTGGGCCCCACAACACAATGCGGGAACAGAGAAAAGAACCCGTGACCCGGAAGATACGACAATAGAAACCACCCATTCCGCACGACAGAGGGAAAACAGACTTAAAAGCACAAACGTCTCGGGGACCTCTGGGGCTCTAACAAAAGATCTGACGTTGTGTCATCAGAGACCCAGAAAGAGGAGGAAGAGGACGAGGCTGAAAAAAGTTCTCAAATGATGGCTGAAGACCACCCAAATCTGGCAAGAAACAGACACTCACACGTTGCAAGAAAGCAAGCGAACCCCCAACCGGACACACCCAAAGATAAACTCCCCTCCGACCCAGAAACCGCACTCCGGGGGCATTTTCCCAGGAAAATGAAGACTTTATGTTCCCACAAAAATCTGTATGTGAATATTCGTGGCAGATTTATTTGTAACAGCCAACAACTGGGATCTGCCCAGTCGGCTTTCAGTTGGGCAGTGGTTACACTGTGGTACTCCCCGCAATGGAATACTACCTAGCAATAAAAACCAGTGCACGCTACAAACCGCGAACCTCCAGGGGAGTGTGCCGAGCGGACAGAGTCGACTCCCAGAGGGCATATACTGTACGATCCCATTTATATAATGTTCTTTAAAAAAAAAATTGTTTTAACGTTTATTATTTTTGCGACACAGAGAGACAGAGCTCAAGCAGGGAGAAGGGAGCACAGAGAGAGAGGGAGACCCAGAACCCGAAGCAGGTTCCAGGCTCCGAGCTGTCAGCACAGAGCCCGACGCGGGGCTCGAACTCACGGACCGCGAGATCATGACCTGAGAAACAGTCGGATGCTCAACCGACTGAGCCCCCCAGGCGCCCCAACATTCTTAATGTGACAAGAGGGCAGAAATGAAGAGCAGAGTGGTGGGAGTCAGGGGGTAGGAAGGAAGCGTGTGTGGGTATACAGGGGCATCGTGAGGGATCCTTATGGTGAGGACAATGTCAGTATCTGGGTTGTGATATTGGAACTGGGGAAAGGGCACGCGGGATCTCTTATTTCTTACGACTGTCTGGGAACCTATAATGATCTCAAAAAAAGTTTCATTTTTAAAAATCTACCTGAAATTTAAAAAATACCTTTGTGGGGGTGCCTGGGTGGCTCAGTCGGTTAAATGTCCGACTTCAGCTCCAGTTATGATCTCATGGCTTGTGAGTTCGAGCCCTGAGTCGGGCTCTCTGCTGTCAGCTCAGAGCCTGCTTGGGATCCTCTGTTTCCCTCTCTCTGTCCCTCCCCTGCTTGCTCTCCCTCTCTCTCTCTCTCTCTCTCTCTCAATAAATAAATAAATAAAAATATTTTAAAAAAGGAAAAAAAATTTTTAAATACCTTTCTAAACAATACCACTTAAAAAAACTGGGGTGCCTGTGTGGCTCAGTCGGTTAAGCATCCAACCCTCGATTTCAGCGCAGACCATGATCTCACAGTTTGTGAGTTCGAGCCCCACATAGGATCCCTGCACTTGGGATCCTCATTTCTTCTCTCTCGGTCCCTCTCCTGCTAGCATTTTTGTGCTCTGTCTCTCAACCAACAAAAAAACACTTAAAAAAAGGAAAAATGGAAAATGCAATCTTTACCTCCTGAAGCTTATTATGTTGCAAGTAACAATTCCAACACCAATTAAAAAAAAAATTAGGTTTCCACTCAGTGATGTCAATGGTTTCTTTCCATTAAAAAAAAATTATTTCAATATTTATTTGTTTTTGAAAGAAAGAGCGCGAGCAGGGAAGGGGCAGAGAGAGAGGGAGACACAGAATCCGAAGCAGGCTCCAGGCTCTGAGCTGTCAGCACAGAGCCCGACGCAGGGCTCGAACTCACAGACCACGAGATCATGATCTGAACTGAAGCTAGATGCTCAATGGACTGAGCCTCACCCCCGGCGTCCTGCCACTTTTTTTTTCTTTCTTTCTTCCTTTCTTTCTTTCTTTCTTTCTTTCTTTCTTTCTTTCTTTCTTTCTT